TTTTTTCATCTTTTGAGACAGGGTCTCGCTATACAGTTGAAGCTTAACTTGAGCTCATTTTGTAGCCCAGGCTGGTCTCCAACTCGCAGTGATCCTCCTTCCTCAGCCTCCTGAGTGCTAGGATTACAGGTGTGCACCACAATGCCCGACAAATTATTTTAGTTTTTATAAAATATTTGTAATGGTAGTTGATGTTTACTTAGTAATTGCTTTACTGTACGCTTGGTGAACTCTTTTGGGCTATAAACTCATTAAGTGTTTAGGTGCCTTTTCTTGATTTATTTAACTTATCTTGGCATATCTTGTTTTTTCTTTTATTCCTTCTTCAAATCATTTATTTGGGTGTTTGTTCACTCGGCCTAGTCATCTAATTTTCTTGTTCTCTCTCTCTCTCTCTCTCTCTCTCTCTCTCTCTCTCTCTCTCTCTCTCTCTCTCTCTCATCTACTTTCTTTTCTGTTACTTCCACCCTACTATTGAGTTGTCTTCTGAATATACTATTTGTTTCCAAATTATTCTGTTGTTATTTGTTCCCTGTCAGGTTTTATGACCACAATAACTTCTCTTATCCATCTGGATATATTAAACATAATAACTTTAAAATTTTTTCTTCCACATGCATAATCTGTGTTACTCCAAGGAGCTTTTCATTGTTTTTCACGTTTACTGTACCTATTAGAGGCATTTTCCCCTGATGGCTGGTAGACAATTCTCACCTTCCTGTTTGTGGCTAAGAAGAGATGGAGTTCAGAGCTGTGAGTCAGGATTGTTGACTGGGAGCTTTGCTGGAAGAACCCAGATGGGGCATTTATTTAAAGCACTTCAAGGGTCAGAATTTCAGTCTTTTCTCTGCAGTGAATCAGATTCACAGAGGAGCATCCTGAGTCTCCCACCTGAAGGGTAAAAGTCTGGTGCTGTTATAGCTGGGAATCCAGGGAATCTTCCCAAGGAGGATCTGGAGGCCTCTGCCTGCCTCTACACACATAGTTTCTTGCGTCATCATGGAGAAGAATTGCAGGAGTCATCCGTAAAAGCCATACGCATATTTCCTAGGCAGAGTCATAGAAGAAAGTGAGAAGAGCGTGCAGGTGCTCAAAGGGTGAGTGATATTATGGTCTGGGATTGGGGATTCTTATATATTTGGGGATGTGAAAAATCTGGACTATTTTAATGTATAGAAATTAAGACTCAATTTATAGGTATAGGGCAAGAAAGGGCTCATTGTATATAGGCTTATTGTATCTTTTACGACTCAGGAATTTTTGGAGTTTCTTTGGAAAGGAAATAAAATGGTATTGCAGGCTTCGGTAACTTTGATTGTTTCCTGAAGCTGCAGTGTCTTAAGAGTAATTCAAAAAATTATGATCTTTGCTTGTTTTTTTCTACCCATCTTCATTTTTATTCTACCTCAGTTCTGTCAGTGAAGGGCAGTTGTGCTAGGACACCAATATTAATCTTTCATGTTTTGAGTCACAGAATTGTGTTGCTAGCCAAGGACTTTCTCCTTTACCTTTACCAAGGAGAGGAGGGGTGGTTGCTCCTCAGAGGACACTGGGGATGCCCCTGGTGCTCCCGCTTTGATTTCTCATAGCAACCCCCATCCTCCACTGCAGATTTAGGGTTCAGTTTTCTGCTAAGCCAGAGGCCACTTGCTGAATCCTCACTTTAAACTCCAAAACTCTCTCTTGTCCTTTCTGTTCTCTGTTCTTGTGAGTTTTTAATTTTTAATAAAGACTCCATGTGGTTGTTCAGGAATATTTGGGAAGAAAGATTCAAGGTGTTTGTTCAGTCTTAATACTGAAGTCACGAGGCCTGATCTGCTATTTCACCTCTTACAGGGGACTTCTCCATTCCTATTGTCACCCTGATTTTCATGACTTACCTGGATCCCTTCTTGTGGGTATAGCATCGTGCTGTTTTTGTCTTAACAGGTTTCATCTTGTTAATAA